CGTATCCAGAAGAGGGCGTAAAGCGCGCCGCTGGCGTAGGGTGGTGCTGGATACATCCTGAAACAATTGTATTTCTGTTCCCTCATATAAAAGGCGCCCTCTGTCTCTAGCACAGCGGAGGATATCTTCTTTGAGCGGGTAGCTGACTAGGCAGCAAACGATATCCCTGGGTGGGTCTGCATGCATCTCCCTCCTGGGGCGGATCGCTCTGTGCACACGTTCGATGTCAACGGGCGACCAAGGAGGTTATTAAATATGGCTATTGCTGCCTTGGGAATATCGGTATTTTCTACTGATTCTGGGGAGACCGCGGATCCTGATGTTACGCCTGCGGCCACGGTTATCTAAATCCTCAATATGCCTGTGGAGTTCTCTGATAGTTGACGCGTGTATCGATGACCGATGATGTAAATCAAGAATTGCGGAACCATTTTGCCTGGATGCGGATTCCACGTGATCCAAACGTGAACCCATGGCCCTTAGATCATTATGCAGGTCCCCTAATGCTGCAGTGAGTGTGGCTGTCAGGGTGGCCTTAATGTCAGCAGCCACAGCCTGAAGATCCCTCAGGGGACAGAGATTGTGAGGCAGAGGGGACATCATGTTGAGGTACTGTGTCTGTAGCTGCCTGCATTTCAGAGCAGGAAGGGTTAACCACATTAGCAGCCGTGGAGAGGAGGAGGGGGGCGGAGGGGGACGCAGCAGGAGAAGGAGATGAAGATGGCTGCGGCCCCTCCCTTTGCTGTTGGGAGCGGAAGAGCTCCGTTATGTGTCTCCCCTGCACACCCTGGCCCCGTGGGGAGCGCGATCGGGTACCGGATGAAGTCCGGTCAGTCTTCCCCATGATGTGACAGCTCCCTCTCACCCCGTTCCGTAGTGTAGCAACACAGAGGGATTCGGCCGGCGGGAGCTCTCTCTCTATGCGGCCATCTTCCAGCCGCGGCAGACCACGCCCCCCCCACCATCTACTCTTAACTACAACATTATCACAAACGACTTACCATTTAAAACACCCGTGTATCCAAGCCACTCTTCAAGCTTGGAAAGATCTCTTATCCACAGATTACGCAGACTCCAAACAACTCCATACCCCAGTTGATATACTACATTCCATTACACCTCCCTAGATCTAACCCAATGGGAAAAACGAAACATACATCACATAGCAGGCCTCTACAAAAGCCACACCCTACGCTCATTTCAATATCTCCAAACCACATTTAATCTCCCTACCACTGAATACTTCCCCTACTTACGAATCACCTACTGCATCCAAACAAACAACATACCCCATACCATAAAAATCCCAGCTACGGCTTACACCTTTTTCTCCAGACCACAATACCCAGGTAAAGGCATCTCTACCTTCTACAAATATTTAACAGACCTACAATTTATTCTAAAATCTACCTCCCTATCCAATTGTGAAAAAAACCCTAGCAGAAACAATTCCAACTCATACATGGATTACTACATTTAACTCCACCTACAAATCCTCTCACTGCAGCTCACATTGGGAATCCTACTGGAAAATACTTCATCAGTGGTACCTAACCCCTACCAAACTAGTCATTTTCTACCCAAACCATTCCCCCTCTTGCTGGCGACAATGCGGGGACACAGGCTCCACTCTACACATACTATGGTCCTGCAAATCCATTAAATCCTTCTGGAATAGTGTATTCCAACTAATAGCTGAAGTTTCCAAAATAATGATAACCCCAAATCTGGCACTCGCGCTCTTACACATCGGGATTAACAAATTCCCATATACCTCCCATACCACCATTATCCACATACTCTTTGCAGCAAAACTAAATATAACCTGATTATGGAATACCACCACTGCTCCTTCCTTTAAATCGCTAATTTCAGATCTTAACTTCCAATGCGAAATGGAAAAAAGACTGGCTCTTAATAATTCCACCCAACACAAGTTTAATTCCTTATGGTCTAACTGGTTACAAAACCCTAACTGCTCCGTAAAACCCTGATAAATTACAAATGATTGATCTACCCATCTACTTCAGACTGGTACTCCCTCCCCACTCCATCACAATTAGCCCTCCCCTCCCCACTACCCCCCTATTATTCTCCCCCTGTTCAATACCCCCTTAGTACTTCCTACTCCACCCCACAGTTCAGTTTAACCCCAAGCATACCTCTGATGTTTATGCCGCAACCCTAACTCTAACCCCAGCCAAAAGGTGGGGTGACTTTCTATTAAAGTTATATTGTATGCATACAATCTATTCTGAACCAAATGTCTTCTTCCTGTTACATTTTTGAAAATCTTCAAATATTGAATTATTAAATATTAAAATAAAAATTATTGAAATTAAACACTCATAAACACATTAGTCCCAAAAAAAGCTGGACCGCACAAAGTTCTGCTGACCTGCTCCTATGGTCCTTATATTGCTTTAGGTGCTGGATCTCACTGCTCGTCCAGCTTGACATACCGTATATAACAAAAGTGAAATGCAGAGGTGCGCACTAGTAAAATCACACTGTAGTACTTTATTCAAGGTAGCTGCCCTCCAAAACCACAGTCTCTGAATTAGGCCACACATTTCACCTCAATTGGGCTTGATCGTAGAGGTGAGGTGGTCAAGGCTGGACGTCTTTTATATCCCCCCATGTAAGTAAATAATAAAACACAATCATGAATAATACAAAGACCAATTGTCATGATCTAATGAGTGAGAAAAATCATTAGGAAGTACAGTATTAGTGTACAACAGTATGAACTTGGCATAAATATAAATTAATAAATGTGCACCATCACCACTTCCTGCTCGGGCTGGTGTGAACACCATTGTTAAAAATGAGTTGCCTCCTCAGAAAAATAGAAATGGGCACACAGACATTAAAACATGATATGACACCTACGTTTAAAACTGCAGAACTCCCATATTCTCCTTCCTCATGGACATGAAAACAACTTCCTTGAAAGGCATGACAAGTCCCATCATCACACAGCAGGACGAGCCGCTACTGTTATCCTCATGCTGACCAATTAAACCTCTCTAAAAGAAATACTAAAGACAAGGGTCTTACTTCATTCAGTCTCAGGGCAGAGAGCACCCCGCTTCACCAGAGACTGATGTGCACCAGGCCCAAACAGAGAAGACTCACAGATGAACACACAATAAATGAACATGTAAATAGGGGGCAAAAAGGATTCAGATCCAGTGAACCAATCCAGTGTCTGAAGAGACGACCCATTCTCATCAAAAACACAAAGACAGCACGAGTGAGAGGGTCCCCACTCTACAGTCCCAACAGGTTCTTTGCATTCACACATTGGAATCATAATCAATTTGGATCGAATAAAAATATATCTGAACGATGGAAGGAATGATGTACAATGAAGATCAAATTGTCAATATAGCAGGGAAAAAGGCTATATAATGTTTGAAGGGGTTATCTCCACAGACATGGTGCTCTTCCCACCAACCCTGTGCAGGCCGGTACAAGAGGACACAAATTTTGCACCCTTCAAAGCGCAAAAATACATATATGGTTGCAAGTAATTGTGCATTAATCAATAAATGCATAATTAATGCTCTTTACTGCAGGTGGATCAATGTAAAGGGGCCCTTTCAGTACAGATATGCCAGCTCTCCCTACAGAAAAGAGAAGTGCTTAGATCAGTTTATTTTGCATGTTCTTGATATTGTTGTGCAGCTGTTGTGAAAAGCATGAATATGAACATTTTGAAATCATTGATGCAGTGTATTTAAAATTGATTTTGTTGTGTGTGTATATCACATCTTCGTTATCCTCCATCTAAAAAAGAACAGTTTTTTAGGAAGTCTTAAAGTGTTAATTAAGGGTAAATCTCAATAGAATATTCCTGGTAGTTAAATTAAATCGGACATATGCCAAGAGAGAAGTCTTGGAAATGTAACAATTCACTTAATTGGTTAACATGTTTTCACTATGCCTGTCATTGTCTGGATAACCATCACAAGGTAATTAAATAAGCAGTCTGGGCACAGCCATGGTGAATAATTATCTGCAGAGTTCAGACACTGAGCAATGTCAAAAACTCCAGGCCTATTGAGGGAACGGTATTACTATGCATCAAGGGGCAGTTTTTTATATTTATATGTTAGCGGTGCACCTGGATATAATTTGACAAACAGCCCCAGATGGTCTGGGGATTGGTATGAGAAGGGAGATATTTGCTTGTGATTTTCATAATAAGGAAAGGCATCAAAAAGCAGATTGTCTGAGACAAGCAGGAAAAGATGTTGTCTTTTATGGCTCTTGGCCAGGAGAGTGAGGTTGGACTCCATGGCCAGCCAATCATTTAGCTAGTGAAGCCACTGGTGGGTTATTTGCAATAGAATAACAGGAAGTTCCTGTTGGGTGTTGTTCTGAAAAATGCTGATGACTGTGAGGTGAGCAGACTGTGAAAGAGCTGTCTGGCTTTCACACCTGAGTGAAAAAAAATTTTCAGTAATAAGTTTTAATTTTCAGGGTGAAACCAATGCATGGCGGTGAGTGGAATGCTAAAACCTTCATTATATATACTGCATTTTTCGCTCCATAAGACATACCTGACCATAAGACACACCTAGATTTTAGAGGAGGAAAACAAAAAAAAAAATTCTGAACCAATGGACTGCAGACATAGTACAGGAAATGACCAGAGACTACAGTCATAGTACAGGAAATGACCAGAGACTGCAGACATAGAACAGGAGATGACCAGAGACTACAGTCATAGTACAGGAAATGACCAGAGACTACAGCCATAGTACAGGAAATGACCAGAGACTGCAGACATAGTACAGGAGATGACCAGAGACTGCGGACATAGTACAGGAGATGACCAGAGACTGCGGACATAGTATAGGAGATGACCAGAGACTGCTAACATACTACAGATGACCAGAGACTACGGACATAGTACAGATGACGAGAGACTGCGGACATACTACAGGAGATGACCAGATAGACTGTGAATATAGTACGGGAGATGACCAGAGACAGCGGACATAGTACAGGAGATGACCAGAGACTGCGGACATACTACAGGAGATGACCAGAGACTGCGGACATAGTACAGGAGATGACCAGAGATTGCAGATATAGTACAGGAGATGACCACAGACTGTGGACATAGTATAGGAGATGACCACAGACTGCAACACAGTACAGGAGATGACCACAGACTGCAGACACAGTACAGGAGATGACCACAGACTGCAAGACACAGTACAGGAGATGACCAGAGACTGCAGATGTACTACAGGAGAATGACCAGAGATTGCAGACATAGTAAAGGGGATGACCAGAAGACAGCGGACATAGTACAGGAGATGACCAGAGACTGCGGACATAGTACAGGAGATGACCAGGGAGTCCAGACCTTTGGGGAGGGGCGGGCAGGTAACCCGCATTTGACAGGTAACCCGCTCCTACTTCCAGAAAGTTGTCCTCGCCCCCTCCCCATAGTCTTGTGGGGACACTTGACAGGTCTCACAAGACTACGGGGCCATTCACAAAGCGCAGCGATTCTGGCGCATGCGCAGTGGGCACCCGGATGTGAAGGCCGCAAGCTGTCACTGCCGGGTGCCCACACTGAAGATGCAGGTGCGAGGGAGAGAAGACAGCCAATAGAAGCAGGACACTGCTGACCGAGGAACAGGTAGGATGGAGGAGCGGGGTTCTTCTGCACATTAGAGCCAAGCGGACGGCCTGGTATGCTAAACACGGCGCCAGCGGGAATACCGGGGCCATCCACTCCATATTCGCTCATAAGACACACAGACATTTTTCTCCTATTTTTTGGGGGGAAAAAAGTGCATCTTATGGAGCAAAAAATAACGATATATATCTATAATATATTGTGATAGGATGAACGGCGAGGTGATAGAGGGATCGCTATGTGTCACCTCGCATATGCTCATACCTGACTGTTTAGGTGGAGTCCACTCCGGTTTTCGGGCCACAGTTAAGCAGGTGGTTTCCGGACCAGAGTTTGGACTCCACTAGATCTCCACCACAGTGATATAAAAAGGGGCAGGGCTGGAGCAAGGAGTTTGCTCGTGGCCTGGGACTCAGAGAGGTATTCTGAGAGAGCTGTGTGTATGGACTATACCTGCAAAAAAGGTTTGCTGTTATTTTTTTGTTTTGGTGACAGGAGAAGCCCTTCACCTCTGAGAGAGGAATCATCTGCTGTTTAGTTAGTGCCTGGATGGCAAGGGTTTTATTTTGATGTTTTGTTTATTTTGATATTTTCTTGCAAACCTTTTTAATAAAAACTGACATCCAGTCAGATTTTGACGAAAGCCTGCTTGTGCGGGTCTACCTTTGTCCCAGGGAAGGAGATCCCCCCACCTGAGCTAACCCCACATATGGTGGATTTGGCGGGCAACTTCCAGAGCAAGTGGGAAGATGGAGGAAGTTATAAGAGCCTTGCTGCAGGCCAACGCAGCACAAACGGGGAGACGAATCGCCAGTTTGTCGGAAGCCCAACAAGCACAACATGAAGCCCAACAAGCAGACCGAGAGCTCCTTAAGCAGGTGGCCCAACACCTATTGGAATTAAAGAAGGAATCTGCAGATACGCTGCCAGTGGAGCAGAAAATGGCGCGGGCCAGCTATGTTTTTGCAGAAGATGACACCTGCGGATGATGTGGAGGCCTACCTCACAACTTTTGAAAGGGTTGCTGTTGGAAGGATGGAAAAAGGAGCAATGGGCAGGACTGCTTGCGCCATTTCTGACGGGTGAATCCCAAAAAGCCTATTATGACCTGGAACCAGGGGATGCCCAGGACTATGAGAAACTGAAGGCTGAGGTCCTTGCACGCCTGGGCGTCACCATTGCAGTCCGGGCTCAGCGGGTGCATCAGTGGCATTACAGGGCTGACAAACCACCCAGATCTCAGATGTTCGATTTGATACATCTCTCCAAAAAGTGGCTCCAGCCAGAGGTATTGTCACGGGCCCTCAGATTGTGGAGCGTGTGGTCATGGACCAATATTTACGTGCACTCCCTGCCACTTTGAGGAAGTGGGTCGGCCGTGGAGACCCTAAATCTGCAAATGAGCTGGTGGACCTGGTGGAGAGATATGCAGCCGCTGAGGACTTTTGGCACTCACCTGGGCCGTACCCCAAGGTCACTAGGGTGGAAAACTATCCGGAGGATCCGGTAAGACTGTTCCATGGGCCAAAGGCTCAGAAAAAAATGATAAGACTATTGTGTCAGATAATGAGACTGTAGGCTTAGGACCTAGAGACTGGCCAAATAGGTCAGGAAGGTCCCCAAAGCCGTTTAGAGGTCTAAGCACTGAACATATAATATGTTATCGTTGTCATGCGTTAGGCCATATTGCTGCAAACTGTCCTTTAAATGATGAACCTATGCAATGTGAAAATGCTTATTAGGAAAAACGCATGTCTCTTTTTGCACAGGTGGTATGTACTCGCAGCATGTCAGAAACGCATGGAAAAGCAAATGTGTGTGATTGCCATTGATGGGAGGCCAGTGACTGCTCTGCTAGACTCGGGTAGTGTTGTGACCTTAGTTAAAGGTGATTTGGTAAACCCTGCAAGGTTACACCCTAGCACGATTGGGGTTATTTGTATATTCATGGTGATACACGTAATTACCCAGACTGCTCTGGTGGAGATTGGTACTACCCTGGGCCCTGTGACCCATTCAGTGGGGGGTGGTGCCCTCCTCTGCTTCATGAAGCCATAGTGGGGAGAGATTTTCCCATTTCTGGAAGTTATGGGATAAGGAGGGGAGTCAGGAGGACCGAGCTCCCCCTGCTGGGGAAACGCCGAAAACTCCTGAACTCACTCCTGACCCCCTTTGACGGCAAGGTGGAAGGGGAAACTGTTGGTGTAATCCGAGGAAGGTGTAGATCTTTTTTCCTTTCTCTGTAATGGCTGGGGAGCAGGAGGAGTTGGATCCAACCCCAGACAGTGAGGATATAGAACAAGAAATGATCGCTGGCTCTAGTGAGAGTGGACAGAATGTGGTGCCTGACCTAGAGGTCAGAAAAGAGGATTTTTGTACGGAACTGAAAGATTCCACACTTAATAGAGCCCGTGAAAACATTAAAATGATTGATGGGGAACCAGTTGAAAATGATGTAGCGGTGTCTTTTCCCTACATGGCTCTTAACAATAACTTGCTGTATCAAGTGGTAAAGCAAGGGGAGGGAGGTGGTAGAACAGTTAGTGGTCCCCCAAACCCTTTCGCCGGATGGTACTAATTTAGCCCATGGGCATATAATGGGTGGACACCTGGGTGTAGAGAAAACAAAGAGAGAGAATAACCCAGAGATTCTTTTGGCCAGGCTTACATGGAGACGTCAAAGCACATTGTGAGTCATGCCCGGAATGTCAATATTCTGCGCCCTCAACCCCATTTTCGCAGTCGCTAGTACCTCTACCCATAAATTGAAGTACCGTTTGAAAGAGTGGCATGGACCTAGTGGGTCCAGTAGTAAAGTCTGCCCAGGCCATCAGCACATACTGGTTATACTTGACTATGCCACCCGGTATCCTGAAGCCATCCCTTGCGTAATACCTCCGCTAAAAATATCGCCAAAGAGCTTGTCCGGGTGTTTAGTCGGGTAGGTATCCCAAAGGAGATATTAACGGATCAGGGCACGCCATTTATGTCTAGAGTTATGAAAAAGAGTTATGCAAAATTGTTCAAAATCTCCCATCTCCGTACCTCGGTCTACCACCCCCAAACCGATGGGCTTGTGGAAAGGTTTAACAAGACCCTTAAGAATATGTTAAAAAAGGTGGTGGACAAAGATGGGAGAATTGGGATTTTTTGCTACCATATCTCATGTTTGCTATACGAGAAGTACCTCAGGCATCTACAGGATATTCACCTTTTGAATTACTGTATGGTAGACATCCCAGGGGATTGCTAGATGTCGCAAAAGAAACCTGGGAGGGAGAGACCACGCCCTATAGAAGTGTCATCGAGCATATCTCACAGATGCAGGATAGAATCGCAGCTGTCATGCCACTTTTCGGGAACACATGGAGCAAGCCCAGGAGGTCCAGAGAAGGGTTTATAACCCGGGTGCCAGGATCCGTACCTTCGACCCTGGGGATAGAGTGCTGGTGCTAGTCCCCACCGTGGAAAGTAAATTCCTCGCAAAGTGGCAAGGTCCCTTTGAAATTAGGGAGAAAGTGGGGGAAGTAAATTATAAAGTTTACCAGCCAGGAAAAAGGAAACCCGAACAAATCTATCATGTGAATCTCTTAAAACCTTGGAAAGACAGGAAAGTTTGTTGGCAGTACCAAGACCCCAAAAGGACGTGGTTCCCGTGGCCCCTCAGGTAACCTATAACGGAAACCTTGTCAGTAGCCCAACAAAATGAGTTAAGGAGTTTGTGAGGAAAAATGGAGATTTCTTCTCCCACCTACCTGGACTGACGACTGTCATACAGCATGACATAGTTACCCAGCCCGGGTCCGCGTAAATGTCAAGCCCTATAGAATACCCGAGGCCAGGCGGGAAGCGGTGGCAAAGGAAATAAAGGACATGTTAGAGTTGGGAGTGATTGAGGAATCTCACAGTGAGTGGTCGAGTCCCATAGTGCTGGTCCCAAAACCAGATGGAACCATTCGTTTCTGTAATGATTTCAGGAAACTGAACAGTGTGTCCAAGTTTGATGCGTACCCCGATGCCTCGGGTGGATGAGCTCATTGACAGTTTGGGAACGCTCGGTACATAACCACCTTAGATCTGACCAAAGGCTATTGGCAGATTCCGTTAACGGAAGCTGCAAAAGAAAAGACAGCATTCTCCACCCCCGAGGGGTCCTTTCAGTAATAAGCGGATGCCGTTTGGTTTGCATGGGGCTCCTGCATCATTCCAAAGGATGATGGACAAGACGTTGAGACCACATCGCCAATATGCAGCTGCCTACTTGGACGATGTCGTCATCCACAGTCCCGACTGGGAATCTCATTTGTCCCTATTGCAAGCGGTTGTAGATTCGCTGCGGGAAGCAGGTCTTACCGCCAACCCCAGAAAGTGTGCCATTGGCTTAGAGGAGGCCAAATATCTTGGCTACATCATTGGTCGAGGTCTCATTAGGCCTCAGATCAATAAAATTGAGGCAATTCAAAAGTGGCCCCAACCTGTAAATAAAAAACAAGTCCAGGCATTTCTTGGAATCTCGGGTACTACAGGCGGTTTATCCCAATTTTGCCACCATTGCAGCCCCACTGACAGATCTGACAAAAGGTAGGGGGTCAGTCATGATTAAGTGGAATCCTGAGGCGGAGACCGCATTTCAAAGGCTGAAACAAGCTCTCTGTGCTCAACCTGTGCTTGTGACCCCAGAGTTCACAACAGAGTTTGTGGTACAGACTGATGCCTCTGATGTGGGACTAGGTGCTGTCCTGTCCCAGATTAGAGATGGGGAGGAGCACCCTGTGGTAACTTCCTAAGTAGAAAGCTCAACAAAACATGAGAGAAACTATGCCATTGTGGAGAAGGAAATTTTGGCCATCAAATGGGCCTTGGAGGCCCTGAAATATTACCTGTTAGGAAGACCGTTCAAGTTGGTTACTGATCATGCCCCGCTCAAATGGATGTGTGATAATAAGGAGAAAAACAGTCGAGTGACAAGGTGGTTTCTCGCGCTACAAGTGTTCAAATTCACAGTGGAACACAGAGCGGGGAAACTGCAAAATAATGTAGATGCCCTCTCCCGGGTCCATTGCCTGGTTGGGACAGTTGCTCAGCCGCAGGGGCTTGAGCAGAGGGGGGGGATATGTGATAGGATGAACGGCGAGGTGATAGAGGGACGCTATGTGTCACCTCGCATATGCTCATACCTGACTGTTTAGGTGGTGTCCACTCCGGGTTTTCGGGCCACAGTTAAGCAGGTGGTTCCGGACCAGAGTTTGGACTCCACTGATCTCCACCAACAGGTGATATAAAAAGGGCAGGGCTGGAGCAAGGAGTTGCTCGTGGCCTGGGACTCAGAGAGGTATTCCTGAGAGAGCTGTGTGTATGGACTATACCTGCAAGAAAAGGTTTGCTGTTATTTTGTTTTGGTGACAGGGAGAAGCCCTTCACCTCTGAGAGAGGAATCATCTGCTGTTTAGTTAGTGCCTGGATGGCAAGGGTTTATTTTGATGTTTTGTTTATTTTGATATTTTCTTGCAAACCTTTTTAATAAAAACTGACATCCAGTCAGATTTTGACGAAAGCCTGCTGTGCGGTCTACCTTTGTCCCAGGGAAGGAGATCCCCCCACCTGAGCTAACCCCACAATATACAGTAAACATTCAGTTCAAGTCAAACTGGGACTTTTATATTTACAGGTATAAAACGGGATGCTAGCGTGGCGGCACTACAAGCAGTGGCAAGTGTGTTTCTATTACTGATAGGTGGCACACATGTCACAGGCTAGTCCAGAGACCATTAATCAGGATGGCAGACAACAGTGTTAGTGCGTGCATGGAACAGCATGTGGTTAAGACGTTTCTTGTTCCAATCACCTCCATGGCCACAGGTGTATAAAATCTAGCACCCATGAATGCAGACTGCTTCTACAAACATTTGTGAAAGAATGGGTCGCTCTCAGGAGCTCAGTGAATTCAAGCATTGTACCATGATATGTTGCCACCTGTGCAATAAGTCCATCCATGAAATGTCCTTGCTACTAATTATGCCACGGTCAACTGTTTAGTGGTATTATAACTAAGTGGAAGCTACTGGGAACAACAGCAACTCAGCCACAAAGTGGTAGGCCATGTAAAATGACAGTGCGCAGAAGTTGCCAACTGTCCGCAGAATCAATAGCTAAAGACCTCCAAACTTTGTGTGGCCTTCAGATTTGAAACAACAATAGTGCGTAGTGAGCTTCATGGAATGTGTTTTCATGGCCGAGCAGCTGCATCCAAACCTTACATCTCCAAGTTCAATGCAAAGCGTCGGATGCAGTGGTGTAAAGCACTGAACTCTAGAGCAGAGGGGACGTGTTCTCTGGAGGATGAATCACACTTTCTCTGTCTGGAAATCCAATTGATGTTGTCTAGGTTTAGCGGTTGCCAGTTAAATGGGACTTGCCTGACTGCATTGTGCCAAGTTTAAAGTTTGGTGGAGGGGGGATTATGGTTTGGGATTTTTTTTCAGGGATTGGGCTTGGCCCGTGAGTTTCCATTGAAGGGAACTTTTAAGGCGTTAGCATACTAAGACATTTTGGACAATTTCATGCTCCCAACTTTGTGTGAACAGTTTGGGGATGACCCCTTCCTGTTCCAACATGACTGTGCACCAGTGCACAAAGCAAGATCCATAAAAGACATGGATGAGCGTGTTTGGGGTTGAGGAACGTGACTGGCCTGCACAGAGTCCTAACCTCAAACTGACAGAACTCCTGTAATAAAATTAAATTACAATACAAACCCTTTAAAGATATACAATTTCCTAAAAAATATGTTTCTGGACAAAAATGGTTTTTTTGAGCTGTTTTGTGTATTTAATAGCTGTTTCCAGGTGGGAAACCAAATCTTTTTTCTTACACTGATCACTAATTAAAGTGGTAGTAAAGTTGACTTAAATATAGTCTCTCTGTAAGGTAATATCATAATGTGCTAGTAATAATACATTCTCAAAGACTTACCTTAGAATGAAACCCTCCAGCGGTGCACTGTCACAGCTGACAGGGCTTCCATCTTCACTCGGTTTTCCTTCCAGGTTAGCAGGCTCTGGCCGAGCCACGATTATGTTTTGGCCATGGCACAGAGCCTTAAAGGAACTGAAGAGCCTTGAAGGTTCCTTCAGAGCGCATGCACCGTGACGTCTTCAGCTGCAGGGATACTGAATATCTCCTAAACAGTGCATGCTTAGGAGATATTCTTTTTACCTAGCAGCTTGTTATGGGGGCACCCGCTGCTCTGTGTGTCCATGTACACACGGAGCTGCAGATTGGCCCCACCCCCTCTCTCCTTATTGGCTGACTGGCTGTGATTGACAGCAGCAGGAGCCAATGGCTCCCACTTGCTGTCTCAGCCAATGAGGAAGCAGACACTTGGGACAGCCAAGGCAAATATTGGTAAATATTGAAGAAGCTGGGGACACTACTGCACACAGAAGATTTTTTACCTTTATGCATAGACTGCATGAAGGTAAAAAACTTTGAGCCTTTACAGCCACTTTAAGTATTGTTAGTCAGTGATTCTTTATAAACATATTGCCAACAATAGTTGCCACTGACATTTACAAAGAAAATAAGTGTGCTTAAGTTCCTAACAAAACTACAGCTTCCAGCATCTTCATTCAGTGTGTAAACCAAGTGATCAGGGGTTTCATTCAGCTATACCAAACCCATATCCTAGCTTAAGGTGATCTATAGATGCAAAACAACTTGAGGGTCCCTCCTGAATTCCATAGCAGGAACTCAAAGCAAACATTTAAAAAAGAGCCCCCCTCCGCCCTAAAAGTTTATACCAGGCCTTTATCTAAGCATATGCAGCCTGGCAGCCCAGAAAAAAGTGGAAAAGCATGCATCTCCCCTCTTGCTCTGTACCAGGCCACGTGCCCTCAACATGGAGAGACCCGCCCTGACAAAACACCCTGTCTCCATATTGATGAGGACAAGGACCTCTTCCCCCCAACCTTGGCCTGGTGGTTTTGGGGGTCTGCAGGGAGCATATTAAAATCTGTAATGCCTTTTTAACAGCAAGGGTATCCCCAGATACTGCCCCCTATGTGACTGAGTAAGGGGTACAAAATACCCCAGTCATTCACAAAACAAGTAAACCATAAAACACACACACACACAGTCCTTTCATTAAAAAAAATTAACCCCAAAAAATGTACACTGTAAACCACATTGTCTAGCAATGTAGATCCACATTCACCATGTTGCCCAATGCCCACTGACCCATCAAAAGAAAAAAAAAGAAATCTTCTGCCTGTTGAGACAATCTTACCCAGATGACTGCTTGCCTGCTTTTGACAGCTCCAGTGGATGACAACTGGTATAAATAAAGGGGCAGACTCTCCCGGGAGATGCCATTGGCCATATAGAACATGACCATATTTGGTCAATGAAGTCACTGGGTTTCCAAATGTAACTGGATTACCATCCAAAGACTCAGTGTTTGGTGAAACAGACTACTAAGCTAGAAGGAGCCTTCCAACAAAAACATTGGTTGTTTTAGCTGCTGTTTATGTGCTCCCTTTAGCAGTGTTGCTTAAGCTCAGCTGGCTACTTATGTTTCATTTGGTTTTGTCTCTTACAGGCCTTCCATTGGGTGAAGAATGGATGTCTTTATTACATTGCTTTTCCTTACACATATTGCTCAAGTGCCATGAAACAACAATGCTTTGTTGGAATTACACTACTGCAAGACATGTGAACTTGAAATGTTGGATGTGTAGCCATATTCCTGCAACTGCACATCAATTGTGATTTTCTTTTAAATACATATGAGTGGGTAAAGTGTCTCTCCCTGGGGATGCTTTGTGTAGTAAGAGTACTTCACATCTCTGGAGAAAATGGGGAACTAGCCACCTTATTCTAATGCTGCAGTATTGGTATTTCCAATGGTACACAGAGGAAAACTGCCTTATAAGTTAAAAAAAAAATCACATCCAATAAAAGCCACCTATGTAATGATTAAAGCGGAGTTCCGGTTGATTTAAAAAAAAATAAAAGTCATCAGCTACTGACTAGCTGCTGACTTTTAAAAAGCAGACATTTACCTGTCCCTCAGTCCAGCGGTGTCCTAACCACGGCTGGTTTTCAATGGCCCTCTTCTTCCCCAGAGCTGGCATCTTCAGAGTGGGCACCCGGCTGTGACAGTTTGCGGCTTCACAGCCGGGTGCCCACTGTGCATGAGTGAGTAGCCCTGCACTTTCTGAATGTTCCCGTAGTCTTCTGGGACCTGTCACGTGTCCCAGAAGACTACAGGGAGGGAGGGGGGAGGACAGCTTCCACTTCTGATCACCATAGGCGATCGCAGCAGAAATGGGAGCGGGTACCTGTCATATTCGGGTACCTCCCCCACCCCTGACAAAGCCTTAAAGTGGAACTTCCGCTTTTGGTTGGGTGGACCTCCGTTTTAAAGTCTTTATGTATTAAGTAGCTAAATGCACTACTTGAAATTGTGTTTTTGATTATACCATGGATGTATTTTATCTCTGGTAATTACTGTGACTTATTTATCAGGACTGTGGGTAGGTAAGAAGGAGTTTCAAATCGCATTACAAGTCACACCTTATTGTCGGCATTGGAACCCTTCAAATAAGTGTGACTCAGATTTTGCGGTGCCACACTAATTTAATGTAACTATTCCTTCACGATTTAGGGTGTGACATCTGTGTATAGACATCTGTGCATGAATTCACACAGATATCTTACAAGTCACATTTGAAGTCTCGCTGACATGCAACTTTGAAATTAGGCAACTTCAAGTTAAACTGCACAATTTCAGTCAGTTGTATTCAGTGTGAATCAGGGCTAATAAAACATGCTGCCAAGAAGCATGTGTTTATCGCTCTGTGCTTGTGTTTACAAATAGAGATGCGTTCAATGGAAAAATGTGTATCGTTTTGTTTCAGATTAGTTCATTAAGTTAATAATTTCATTTCGTTATATTTGTTAAGTTAGAATGATTCGGTTTTTTAATTTGTTTTGTATATTTGGATTCATTCCGTATATTTGTTATTTTCAAAACAATTCAAAATACAAAATTTGACATTCGAATTTCCAAATTCAATTTTCAAAAAGTGGCTATAATTGTTCTATTGTATTACATTATAATTTATTCAGTTAATCTATTCTGTTTTTTTTTTTTTCAATTATATTCTGTTGTTTTCTATTCTATTCAATTCTGTTCTATTCTATTGTTTTCTACTCTGTTTTATTATATTCCTTTCTATCCTATTAAGCAGCCCAAGTAACAATCATTATCTTACTTCACTTTTCTATCTTACTGTACTTACTGCAATATGTTTCCATTTTGAATTTGAATTAATTTTCAAATTCATTTTCGAATTCGGATAACTAGTTTCGCTATCATTTATTTTGGATTCATTTAAATTCGTTACTATTGTGATTAGGAAATTCAGATGCATCTGAATCCCCGAATAATGAAAATTTCCTCTCAATTTCAATTTGAAACAAAATAAATTGCTAAGGTCTATGCACAGAGTTTTCAGCTCACACCACCTTATTGGCCCCACGGACAAGAAGCACTCAGTTTGTTTATGCATTGAGTTCTGAGCACCACCTTTTGATGCCACATGTATGGAACCTGAAAAGGTCACTGTCCCAAAAGGATAAAAGAAGGAGAAGTGTTCCCCATATCCACCAAATCTATTGTATGTGTATACTAGAGAATTAGAATTAATATCTGAATGGCTTCTAGTAGCAAAGTTACATGTTTTTCTTTTTTTGCAAAAGTTTTCGCACATTAGTCCTGCTTCACATCTAAAGTCTTATGATACACTATCAATCAGCATAATCACAAAAAGCCACTTAATTTGAATTATATAGCATTGCTGAGTTGCTTCTGTAAATGCTAGTTGGCATAGCTATCACTGACTTTCTGAATCACAGCATTTTCAGAAAGGGTTTTGGCAAAGACAGACTCCATATTTTTCTCATGACAGGTTTGCTTTAAATATCGCACCCCAACAACTACTACTCAACAGAACATTGGTGTCTCTTGTGGAGATGCAAAAGGGTTTTTTTAAGGTAAACACCTGTTTAATCGAATTTATGTTCCTTCCATAAGCATCAGAGCCAGTTATACTAGGATATCAGCCATTCTGAAAAATTTGGCCTCAGGCATTCAGGTAACTACATGAAACTAGAAGGATAAATAGGGTGGGGAGAGTGTGATTACGTGGTTCACACAATAGTGAATGAATGAGCCTGTTATTCCATAAAATGAAACCAGTTTCCTCTTTGACACCAAGGTGTTTTTCCAGAAAGAAGAGGGCAAGGAGAGGATATCTCTTAAAGGTGCAAACAGAAGTACAACAATAATGTAGGCAGATACACTGGGGAGCATAACATTTTATCTACAACAGAACAACTAAAAAGAAGACTTTAGAACAACCACAAATCATTCAATCTTTTCTTTTTCAAAAGTCTTCAAGGCGCATTAAGAGGGCTGTGATTTAAAATATATATTCAGAGCATCAAGCTTACATAATTGATAAAGGAAGGAAGGAAATATACGCTTACCGGCCACTTTATT